ATTATTATTATTATTATTATTATTATTATTATTATTATTATTATTATTATTATTATTATTATTATTTTGACAAACCTGCAACAGATAGAACAGGACCTTATTTGACTTTCATTAAACCTAGGCACAGTAAGCGTATTGTACTTAATATTGATGACTCTAAATATTTCTTTACTAATTAGAACGAACTTAAACTAGACTTAATACCAAGCACTAACTTAACATTAAATATTTTCCAGTTCATGTGAACCTGAAAGTCAATTTGGTCAGTTTTTATTTTAAAAATACTAAATTTGTAAGCTCTTATTTTTATGTCAACTATGCAGAGCTGTTCCACTTTGATTTTTTTTTTTTTTAGCGGGAGAAATATCTCATATCTATAATGTGTACACAGACTTATAAACAGACAAAAGCTAGAGATCTCGTAGCTTCACTTTAAAAATTACTTAGGAGTTAGGTTTAACAATATAACTTTACTGCTTATGAACAACAGTTGGAGCGAGCTGAATTTGCTTGCTCACATCACTAAGGCTCACTATTGATGAAAAAGACATTTAAGATTTCTGGACAAAGTCTGAAGGGCCCGTCAGAGTTCTGAGTTCTAAAATGCCAGAAATGTCTTTGGTCTCAAGTTTCACCTCGTTGAGCTAATTAGGCTCAGCCCTAGGTCACTGTTTGCTGTATTTACATTTCTGATCTGCAGAACAGAGACAGGTGCTTCCAGTTCCCCAGAGAACTGCTCTGTCACCCAGGCCCAACTGCATCTCCTTAATTTGCTTTTCAGTATCAGTGAGAAGAGCTCTAAACACAGAATTCCATGTTTTAAAACTTTAAGGTTTACTTTATCACGTCTTCCAAAGCTTGCAGAAGGCGTTTAGTAAGGTCTCTTTTCCTTGAGTTGTAAGTTAAACCCAGGGTAGATCTCTTATTATTCTTTTTTATTAGCCCCTGAATATTAGTTTTTAGTTTTACTTTATATTGGGTGGCTCAGGCAACTCTATGGGTTTCCTTTAGTTTGTTTAAGTAATGTTTTCTGAGGGACAGATATGTGCCCAGCCTTATAATACCAAGAAGGGGAAGCGTTTTTCCATGGAAACATATCTATCCCACAACATAATTAAGCAGAAGAGATTTATATAAAGCCCACTTAAATATACCAACTTTACAAACTTTTGTCTCCATTTTATTAACTCTTATACCTTTAATTTTAACATTTATTAGGTTTAATCAATAATTCTTATTGCTAGAAGGGATGCCAGGAGCCTTTTTCTTTTATTACTTGTCCACTTTATCTAATTTTTATATAAAAGTTTCTGGGATCCCCAAGTTTGAGCCAAAGGACTTAGGCCCTTGTCAGTTTTTAATTTGATTAATTGATTGGTTGCCCCAATCACTG